AGAAGGCTGAATTTGAACTAGGGCCTGGGATTAGAGAACCAAGTAACCAGGTTCTAATAGTGGAGAACACACCAGCTAAACCGCTAAGTTCTGTTATACCGGAGAAAAAGAACATATGCTTTGAAAATATATACTAAAAGAAGAGTGTCTTTCAAATACTTAAAGCCTGGGCAGACTGACCCTTTCAAGTTGTTAGCTAGAAGTAAGAGAGGAACCGATAAAGAATTCAGGTAAGGAGACAGTACCAAATATAGGTATTGGGGTTGTTGTGAATCTTGACAAGGACAAGAGCAAGTAATTGTCAACTAATTTGAGAAGGTTGTGGCTTGAGATACAGACCAGGTTACAGCAGCATTCTAAAAGATGGCTTGAGGTATGAATTTGGTAATGGCAGCATGACAGGTACTAAAATTAGTTACAAGAGGTTTAATGGTTAGCCCTGACTCCGAGTACATAGGTCAAGCTATAGTATAAAGTTACTGAAGTTTGGGTAAGGCATATGAGTAAAACATGTGCCCTAGCAAATAGGTGAGCATGGCCTTTTGTTGATCCGAAGAGAAATCCTCTAGCAAGTTAGGGGCCAAAAGAGAGGTAAATTAGTAGCTAGATGGTTACACTTGGGCACCTTAAAGCAGCTAAGTGAAGCTTTATACATGAGTGGAGTGCAGTAGTTTGGGAACTGTAATACTATAGGGAAGGAACCTTGGATATATAGACTAGGTTATTGTACTACTATGTAATAACTTAACTATTCAGATGTAATAAAGTGGTTACTGTTAAAAAAAAAAAAAAAAAATTGAATTACTATTCTAAAACCTTTTATTGTATATATTTAGGCTATAAATATAGTTATAAAATAATGTTTATAGATACAAAAAGTAGTAGTGTTTAGAGTTTTTGAATATATATAATAATGTATTGCAAATCTGAATTAAAGTAATTTTTGTAAAATAATATATTTATCATATAATAAATACTGTAATTTAGATATACAGTATACTTCATGATTTAAATTAAAACAATAATTATTAAACTATATCAAATGTACTATAAAAGTGTCTTTAGAGAGTATTTAAAAGTTTATATAATAATCTTTATTCAGTATAGCTGGTAATCTATCTGAGGTATGATCAACTTTTTTTGGGGGTATTTTAACAGCCAATCAAAATGAATTTCTACTATACTTATAATATATATTTAAATATCATTTGACCAATACTAAACCCTTTGACCAACTAGTCAAATTGGTCAAACTGGTCTGGTCAAGCTTGACTATTGACCAGTTCATGCCAACTCTGTACCTTACTATAGTACCTTATCATAGTACCTTACTTAGTACCTTACTATAGTATCTTATACAGTATAACTTATATATGTTTTATACTAATTGTAAAAGCTATATAAACCCTAGTTTTCTACTTTTTTTGCATATTCCCTACAATTTTGAGTTATTAGAATTCCTTAGTATAGATACCTATGAATATGCTGTGTTGCAAATATTATATTTCTAAGAAGGCTATAGTCCACTTGTAACAGTAGTTTTTTTAAAAATTCATTGTTTTTGTTATACAAAATTAATTTATATATTATATCTAATCCTGAATTTTAATTGACAAATTGACTACAAGTAATAATCACTTGTAGTATAAATTAAAAATATTCAAAAATTATTATTTTTATATATGTGTAATATTACACAATTCTAATTATCTTAAAAACTACTGCATAGAATTTTTTAATTTTTTTTTATTTAAAAAATAAGTTTATTGTATAGTTTTCAAATTGACCAATCATTTAATAGAATTATAACAAATTGAAAAAAAAACATAAAAGAAATTATGCACTATATAAATTATATAATAAATATATACTTAATTAATCTCAGGTACAAATATACATGCCATACAAACTACAAATCTTTAAAGTCCCACCCAAACCCAAATCCCAAACTGGACAAATTCTATTTGGGCTGTCATAATTCCAAACTCTAGCCAAATTCCAAACCCATCCCAAAACCCAGATCCCAAATTTCCAAATCTCATGTTCGAATCAATCCAAATTTATACTAGGATGTACTTTGTGCAAGATACAAGTTATTTTGTGTAAAATCACATTTAGATGAGGTAGAATCGTTATATCATGCAAGGTATGTATATATACAGTAGAGATTTGGGATTTAGAACATGGGATCGGATCTGGGATTTTAAGGATTTGGGATAAAGTTTGGAGTTTTACCACATGGGATTTTAGACTTGACCGGACAATGGACAAATCCCAAATCCCAAAAGTTTGTCCAGTAAGTATAATTGTGGGGCGAACCAAAAAACCTTAAAGGCTGATAATTGAGATTTGGAATGAATTTGGGATTTTGGATTGCAGTTTGGCCTATTATTTGGATTTCAAGTATAATTTGAAAATCCCATTTGTCCGGGTTTGTCCATGGAAAAATCCAAATCCCGAACGGGGTACACTAAAAAGGGGGTACTATTTGCTGCAAATTACACTGGAAGTTTAAAGAACCTTCGAAATTAATAGGATCAATTGACTTGCATGACCTTTTGATCGTCAATTTAATTTATCTACCCCACTTTAAGGAACATTTTTCCGTGTTCCTGCATAGACGCACTGTCCGTGGCTAGCTGACTAAATTTTATCAGGTTAGTATCCGCGGAACACTACTGACCAATCACAAGGTGTATTTCAATTCTAATCACGAAGGTAAATTTCGCTCGTTAGTGTTAGAAAAAAATTACTTATTACAAAAGTACCGATGAATGCGTATGATAATAAAGAGGCAGGAACTTTATTACTTCACGATTCGGTATTTGTTGAGCATGGGAGCTCCGTTACAAATGCAAATGATATTCCAAAATATGAAATGCAATTTACGCGATTGGCTCGAAAAGAATTTCGAAAGCTTAAAAAGAGACATCGTAAAAAGGCGTTAAGGATAGAAGCGGCAAAAATCATGGAGCAAAAACAAGGCACGGATTTATCTTACTCAATAACATAATTTTAATATACTTATGAGGGAATATCTTGAACTTTAGAACACACACATTCTGAAGAAACCACCGAATCAACGAAAGCAGAAGAGATAAAACTGTCAGTTACTTACTTTGCGTTGTTAAATTATATATATATAATAATTCATAATTAATTTCGTAAATGTTAAGGAATGTTGAAAGAATTCTATGGGAAGCTCGAGAGCGACACATTGATCAAGTTAATGCTGAAAAAAGGCGAAAACAAGAAGAAGAAGAAAGGAAAAAGAAGATAATACAGGTGATAAATTCATTACCAATTATTAAATTTGTGCTCATTCTCATATTCCAATATTACATCAGGAAAATTGGGAAAAAACAGTCAAAAGCATAAAATTACACAAACCTCCAAACATTACAACAATTGTAAACGATGCGAATTCAGTATCGAATTCAGTATCGAATTCATCATCTGCCCAGGTATCTATGCGATTATAGGTTAAATTAAATTTATTATTTTATTATTTCCTTTTTAAAATTAATTTATTAAATTATGTTATTAGATGTCATCATCTATTTCCACTGTAACCACAGCATCTTCTCAGGAAGTAATGCCTCTAGAGTCAGATTATGGAACAGAGAAAGTAGTGTATCCTGAGTTGTATCTTGATATCCATCTACCATCATATATATTTAATTTCTATAATATATATAAGGAAACACTTAAAAGATCAGCATATATTCTATTATTTTATTTTTAATATTTTATGATCAAATATTTGTAACTCACATCAGGATCAGATCAATTGCCCGTTCTATTTTAAAACCGGTGCATGTCGGTATGGTAGTTCATGCGGTCGATATCATTCATATCCTGATAAAAGTGTAACAATTCTAATTAAAAATATGTACGAGGGTATGCCGGTTCGGTTGGCAGACGAAGATAATGATGATAATTTGGAGGTATGTTACATACATCTGAGTGTTCTGCTATTGTCTTCTTGAATCCTACACAAAGACCATAACTATAGAGCGTTTCATAATTTCAAGATGATAGATTGGACTAAGGATGAGATTATCTACTTTTTTTGTATCTTTTGATCAATGAGATTTTCTTTTTCCAATATTATTCAGCCATTCATAAAGTTTCTTATATTTTTTGTTTTCAAAGTTGTGATAAGTCCTTGACAAAGCTTATGCGTAATATTTTAAAACGATTCATTCTCTCATTTTGATGGCCTTTTTGTAGTATGATGAAGTGGAAGCTGAACGTCATTACCACGAATTTTTCGAAGATGTTCATTCTGAATTCCAACAATATGGGACGATTGTTCAATTCAAGGTAATTTACTATGTTACAAATTATGTATATATATAGGTGTATTTATTTAATTATTATTATTTTTTTTTCAGGTGTGCAATAATTTTCAGATGCACTTACGTGGCAATGTGTATGTACAATTTTCTAAGGAATGTGAAGCTGAGCAAGCAATAAAGACTATTAGAGGAAGATGGTACGCTGGTAAACAATTGATATGTGAATATTGTCCAGTCACGAATTGGAGATCTGCTATATGCGGTAGTTATCTTGGTTGATTTTCTTCACTGATTATAAATTTATGATTTTATTAACGTTTGATATATATAGGGCATTATGAAAACAATAAATGTCCAAGAGGAATTCATTGTAATTTTTTGCACATATTTAAAAATCCTGGAGGACTATATTCTAACAGCACCAGGATGTGATATTTTCGATAGCATAGTTATTGGGCCTGAAGATCGATCAATATGATTGTTTGTTGCAATAGCTTGTGGTAAGTGATTTACTGCAAAACATATGAACTTAAATTATTTTTTAAAATTTAATTTCTGTAATAAAATTTTTCAAATTATTTTTTAAATTAAAAAGTTTTATTTACTTATTCCAAACTATATAAATTATCATTATTGATAGTCCGAAGGAATATTACGGTGTGATGGATTTTGATTGGTTGTTCTATCGCAGTCACTTGCTGGCAAAATTTTTGTCCACCCAGACTTTATATTTGCGAATTTTATTTTATTTTTTTTGAATTTATAAACGGCAATTGTTTTTCGGTTTTGGATTTTGCCATCAAGTATAGAATAACATGTATATGTTGTGCCCAAATCGATTTGTCCCAATTGTCAACTGGGACGGTCCAGACGTCAATTTACTGAAATTTAACTACCAAGTTAATTTGTTTAGGCTGACATTTGGGACAAATTGACATTTAGGGAACATATATGTATATAAAAATATTAATTTTTTTTTTGATTTTTAATAATTGTTTGTCATGGTTAATGCAAAATTTGATATAAAATTTTAATTTTTTTGGAAATATTCTCGAAAGAGCGGGCATCTGCGCGCTATTTTGACTACGTGCGCGTTATTTCGAATACGCCCATGGGCGTTATTTCGAGATAAAGTATTAATTCTGGTTACTAATGTTATAAGTAAGTCGAATGAATAAGTATCAGGTTAACATCGGATACAAGACTTCTGATATGCTACCGACATGCTAAAATCAGGTGTATATCGAGGAGCTTTTATTCCGATATTTACCCGATATTTTCTCTTCGAGGTGCGCGCTATTTCGGGACGCGCATGGGCGTTATTTCGAAACCACCCATGCTATTTTTAGGGGGCGCGATTTTCGAAATAACGCCCCTGCCCGCTATTTCGAGAATTTATGGTATTATAATTTAGAGTTAGAATTAATATATAAATTTTATTAAGATATCAAATTTTAGTATTGGTTATGACAATAATTGTGGTAAATTATGCTGAAATACCGGTTCGAATTATAAAAAGTTGGCTGAATTATAATTTAATTTATCCAACATGTCTTATGTGAACACCGATCGATTTTTATGTTATTCAGCCACCTCCTAATACAATACACAAATTTTCATCACCTCTTAAGAGGTGAATGAAAATTTGTGTATTTATATTAGAGGAGGCCGAATAAGATACACGAAAATCGTTCGGTGTTCACATAAGACATGTCGGATAAGTGTATTATTGGTCAAATTGTGGCCGATAATCACTGATTTATTCACAGCAGATACCGCATTACGACGTGACCTTCGGTCACGTCATAAAAACAGTATCTTAGTGAATAATCAATTATCATCCACAACATGACCAAAACAACAAGTACTTATATTAGTAAATATAAAATATATAGTTAGAGTTAGAATTTTTGTTAGGGTTAGGTTTTAGAGAGTTTTATTTTTAATGACTATCTGTTTCACATTTGTACTAAATTTAGTACAGTAAAAATAAATAGGATTTAACTAATTTTAATTAGTTAAATTTAACCACCCTTTATTTTTTATAGAATTTTTTTATATAAATAAATATTCTTTAAAGATTAAGATTAGAATACTGGCTATATTAAGTTAACTTGTAGCTTATTTATATGCAAAATTAGGTGCTAAAAACTTTTACTTAATATTACAATAGGTTCTTGTAATAAAATTTTGCAATATTGTTAATTTTTTAAAAAATTTCTTTATTTTGTTATATAAGATTTTGCAACATAATTGGTAAATTGTGGGGTGGTTAAATCACTAGCAATATCCAAATAAATATATTTAATAAATTTTATTTAAATTTTACCAAAATAAAATTTGATATTAGACTTAATATCTGTGTAAAATTTGAATAATATTTATTAATAAAATTTGGGTTTATATATATGTACCTGAAGGTACATATACTCGCATCACATAATATATAGTTGGCTTAAAGATATATTACTATCACTATATATATCATATAACTATTCAGACCGATTATATTACTTTAAATTACTGTCACACATTGTTACTAGACTATATAGATTTTATACTGAGTCTTATAACTGTCATCACGTGACCATGCCAATAAAATATCAAAAAAAACAACAATTATCTAATGCTAACCAAAAACTAACCCTAACCTAAACAACCTTTACTCTAACTCAAACTAACTTTGCCCCAAATTAATATTTACTTTGACCTGAACTAACTCTACTCCAAACTAATATTTACTTTAACCGAACTAACTCTAATATTTACTCTATTTATACTTTATATTCAGATACTTCTTACCTATTATGAAAGAAATACCGAACGAGTATATTTACGCAATTCTTATTAAACTTGCAAATAATAGTAAAAGTTTATTTTTATATTGTCTTGTTAATCGTTTTTGGTATCTAAACACAATACATCCTAACTCAAACTAACATTTACTCTAACCCAAACTAACTCTTATCCTAACTCTTACTCTAACCCAAACTAACCCAAACTATTATATTAGTTCCCAATTGCATTAGTAAAATTATATTTTGTGGGACTTATTCTATAATACGTATTATTCATAAAGTATTTAACCTTAAAATTGATTTTATTTAGATATACCTATATAGCTTAGTGTATTTATATAAAAGTTCATACAAACTCAAATAATAACTGTGTAAATCTAATTTTTTTTTTTTTTTTTTTTTTTGGTATTAAGGTGACCTCTTTGGTTTGGGAAACTTTTTATTAGAGTATAGACGAAGTTTTATATGTAATTACAACGATGGTACATCAAGCCACACATGTACCTTTTGAGTGCCTATTTAAGAAGTCTGCCCGAAGGTTTTACACTATCTGCCGTACCTGCACCCCAACTAGGGGGGTACCCATTTAAACCATCTGGTTC